ACGGCGCAGGTGCGTTGAACCACCTTATTTTGTTGAATGGCCATGGAGAATAAGCATCAAAGAAAACTGTACGTGCCGAGATTCGGCGCCGTCAGACAGCGGGCCAGTGGTGTGCAGTTGAGTTGAACTCTTGTTGGATACAGAACAGAAGGTCAGAGGGTGGTGGGCCAGCTACCTCCTACCTAATACCGCTAAAAGCCAGTCTGTCCTTTTGTGGGCCAATGGAAAGGGAAGGAGCCGAAGGGTGGACTGTCGAGTTGGGCCATAAGAATTTGGACTGGACACAGGACATCAATTAATTTTTAAAATTATATTAAGAAAACAAGACTGATTAATTATATACATATATATATATATAACATGAGTGTTTAATCATTTAACAAGATTAATCTCCTAAATATGACATATTACTTCTTCGCAGCTACCTATAACTGTGAATTATCTTAATAACACAATAATATTCTCATTTAAGTGAAAACAAGATTAAATTAATATAAATTATATGCAATGTAAATGAGATGAATTAAAAAATATAAAAAGTATAACAATTCAAATAAAAAAAGTGTAACAACTCAACCCGAGATTTATTCTATTTGCTTTAGCCTCTTAACTCTCATAACTTTAAAATGCATTAATAAGAGATAATAGGTATTAACTTATATATTGAATATCTCTCCTATATATTATTAGTATGAAATTTACCTAAAAATGTTATAAAAAGTTACTTCCTATTGTATAATTTAAAATCAAAACGACTAATCATAACTTATAACTCCACTGAAAGTGGTGAGTAACTCATTAAACAATGAACAGTTTAAACTCAATTAACACTAAATGTTTACTATGAGAATCATTTGGAGTGGGTTAAGAATAAAAAAGAAAGAATATAACTGTGGGATTTAGATGAAAAACATAAAAATATATATATTTTTTACAAGCCAAATTATATATTAAAAATGAATTTACTTATAAATATATTAAAATATTTTTAATAAAATTATATTTTATATTATTTTATTAATATTATTTTATAAAATATATTTTAATTAATTTATAAAACAAGGTACACTTTGCACTTTTCATATAGTATTTTTTTTTTTACTAATCTTTCGGTATCCGATAACCACATTAAGTTCCGATTAATGTAGAATCGAATCAGATCGAATCCATCAGGAGAAATTCTCTCAACGCCTGTTTCTTTATTTATAAAATTTAAACTCAAAAACTTATTTAACAAAAAATAAATTTATTTCACTCGAATCAACAAGTCATTACTGTACTTTCCATATTGTATTACATGAATCCAAAACATAAAACCATCATCGGGTAGTCTTTATATTCCGTTGGAATATTTTGGGCGACCTTTATTTGAGAGTGGATAGCATTTTTAGCCTTGTAGCAATGAGATTCAAGAACCCATTTAAGATTTGGGTTTTCTCTGCTTATAATGGGCTGTCCTTGTGACCCATCTATTTTATGACCCACTTAGAATGGGTTAAAGTATACTTGTAGCCCCTCATATTAATAAATTTAAAGATTTTAGCCCTTTATTTTATATCGTAAAGTTTTTAACCTCTAAACTTAAAAGTTTGAAGATTTTAACCTTTAGATTAATGAAATTTGTTAATTCTATGTTAAAGTGATAATAAAATATTTATAAAATCAGTTTTTAAAGATTAAAAATATAACAATTTAGCTCTAAAGTTTAAAAATTAAAAAAATAATAAATTAAAAATAATTAGTGGATATTTTTGTCACATACATAGTAACAATATTAGATATCTACAATCAAATCGAGTGATTAGCTTAATTTAAATAAAAAATATCTAATTAAGATTAAAGAAAAATTTTTAATTGTATTCTTTTAGTCTTTTAGGTTTTTTTATCTTATCTTATCCAAAAAAAATTTTTAATCTTAGTCAGAAGTCCTTCTTCAAATTGAATTAATCGTTTGATTTATTATAGATATCTAATATTATTTTTATGTATGTGGTAAAAACATT